AGAACAGAGACACTATGCAAAGATATATCAATTACAAGCAAAATCCTCCACTTGCAAGCAAGGGGAGAGGAGTCTATTGGTGTACTATTCAGACTTGACATCAATTTGGAAGGAACTGGATCATTATCAAAATGTGAATTGGAAGTGTGATGAGGATGCAAAGGCCTACAAATCACTTGTTTCCCAACAACGGGTATTTGCTTTCTTTTGGGGATGAATCCTACATATGAATCCATGAGGGTACAAATCTTAGGAAGTAAGAACCTACCTTCAGCCCAAAATGTTTATGCCCTAGTTCAGTCTGAAGAGAGCAGAAGAAGTGTGATGAATTGTACAGAAGGGGAATCGATTGCACTAACTGTCCAAGGGGGTACAAGTTCAAATGTTGGAGGCTCTTTTTAAAAGGGAGATTCACAGAAGATAGTGGATGACAAAGACAAACTTTGGTGCACTCACTATCAAAAGTCCAGGCACACTAGAGACACATGTTGGGATCTTCATGGCAAGCTGAAATGGGCTCAAGAATTGAGTAAGAAGTCTGATTCGAGTAAGAAGCCAACCCAGCTGAGTCAGAAGAAATATAACTCAGCAAATGTGGCATCTCAAGAGACTAGTCCCATGGTACCCCAAGAGTGACACTCTGGTTTTGACCCCAAGGAAGAGATCACCAACTCCTTTTGTGACCACTTGGAATTATATGGTAGGACACTTCGCTAGATGGATTCTGGCCCTACTCCTTCTACCTCCTTTGCGTCTACATCAGGTAACACTGCCACTGCCTTACATGTGTCATCTCATACATCTGATTCCCCTTGGATAATTGACTATGGAGCCTCAATCCACATGACTGGTAAGTCAAATTTATTTCAGGCATATAACCTCCTCTCTGGGAAAGATAAGGTGAGACTGGCTGATGGGTCTTATTCCACCATAGCCAGTCAAAGAACCATCTCCCTTCCTCTTGGTCTTACCCTCTCTAATGTGTTGCATGTTCCTAAATTACCTACCAATTTACTTTTCATTAGCAGTATTACTCGTTCCTTGAATTGTTCAATGACCTTCTTTCCTTATTCATGTGTATTTCAGGATTTGACCTCGGGGAAGACGATTGGTAGAGGAAGCATGGTGGATGGCCTCTACGTGTTGGAGAATAAAGCTAGTCTTGTGGCTACAGAGTCTTTATGTTCTTCTAGTGAGAGTCATGCCTACTTGTGGCATAATCGTCTTGGTCACCTTTCGTTTGAGTCTTTAAAACTTATGTTTCCTGAGTTGTTTAAGTCTTTGTTAGTTAGTAAATTGTAGTGTCATACATGCCAATTGAGCAAACATTGTAGAAATTCCTTTCCTTTAAGAAATAAAAGATCTAAATTTCCTTTTCATATTGTCTATTCTGATGTTTGGGGCCCTATCTCTCTACCTACTGGGACTAGATATAAATATTTCATTACTTTGATCGATGACTACTCTAGATATACTTGGGTGTATCCTATGCGATCTAGAGATGAAGTGACAAAAATTGTGAAAAGCTTTCAACGAATGGTTTTCACTCAATTACTAAAATTCACATTTTGCAGTCGGACAATGCAAAGGAGTACTTCCATAGTGATCTCACGGAGTTCTTTGCTTCGTGTGGATCTC